CTTTATTACAACACAAAAACAAAGATAATAGTATATTTCCTTTTTTCAAAATAAATATAGAGTTGTTAAAATCACCATGATGACCAGGGATGTTCAGTTGGGTTATAAACTGATTAGTGTAATCATCCACTCTTTATTAATCACTATGTATCCTTTTTTTTTTGAGATGAGGCCTTGTTCTGTCACCCAGGATGTAGTGCAATGGCATGATCACAGCTCACTGAAGCCTCAACTTCCTGGGCTCAAGTGATCCTCCCACCTCAGTCTCCCAAGTATCCGAGACCACAGGCACACACCACCACACCCAGCTAATTTTTAAATTTTATTTGTAGAGATAGGGTCTCACTATGTTGGCCAGGCTGGTCTCAAACTCCTGGCCTCAAGTGATCCTCCTGTCTCAGCCTTCCAAAATGCTGGGATTACAAGTGTGAACCACTGTGCCCAGCCTCTATATTTTATGTTTAAGTTGAAAACTCATTTAAATAATTATTTCATAGTTTGAATGTTGTAAAAATGAAGATCAAGATAGATGCCATGATCACCCTGAACCACAGAAACCCCTAGAACATTTGCTGAATTATGAGGTTTCACAAATGACCTCAAGGAACTAGGAAAAAAAGAACCCAAACCCCAAAGTTAGCAAAAGGAAAGAAATTACAAAAATTAGAGTAGAGAGCTGGGCACAGTGGCTTATGTCTGTAATCTCAGCACCTTGGGAGGCTGTGGCAGATGGATCACTTGAGGTAAGGAGCTCAAGACCAGCCTGGCCAACATGGTGAAACATCGTCTCTACTAAAAATACAAAAAAATTAGCCAGGCGTGGTGGTGGTACATGCCATAATTTTAGCTACTGGGGAGGCTGAGGTGGGAGGACTGCTTGAACAGGAGCAACCAGGAGGTGGACGTTGCAGTGAGCTGAGGTCATGCCACTGCACTTCAGCCTGGGAGACAGACCAAGACTTTGTCTCAAAAAAAAAATAGAGTAAACAAAATAGATTATAAAAAAGAAAAAAAAATCAAAAAACTAAGTTGGTTTCTTTTTGTGAAAAGATAAACAAAATTGACAGACACTTAGCTAGACTTTAAAAAAAGATTCAAATAAGATCAGAAATAAAAGTGAAGACATTATACCCTATGCTTCAGAAATGAAAAGGATCTTTAGATACTATGAAGAAATAGGCATTAAAAAATAAAAATTTTGGGAAAAAAATGGATTAATCCTAGAGATATACAACCTACCAAGACTAAATTACAAAGAAAAAGAAAATCTGAGCAGAACTGTAACTAGGATAGAGGTTGAACTGGTAATTGAAAACCTCCAAAAAAGAAAAGCCCAGGATCAGACGGGTTCACTGGTGAGTTCTACCAAACACTAAAAGAAGAAGTAACACCAATTCTTTTTAAATTCATACAAACATTGCAGAATAGGAAACATTTTTACACTCATTTTATGAGGCCAGCATTATCCTGATACCAAAGCCAAATAAAGCCATGAGAACAGAAAACTACAGGCCAATGTCCCTGATGAATATAGACACAAAATATCTTCAACAAAATACTAAAACAAGCTGAATCTAATAGCACCTTAAAAGGATCACACAACAAAGACCAAATGGAATTTATCCTCAAGATGCAGAAATAGCTCAACAAATACAAATCAATTAACAGACTGAAGGATAAAACTCACATGATCATCTCAACAGATGAGGAAAAAGGTTTTTGGCAAAATTCAACACTTTCATATAAAAACTCTCAACAAATTACAAATAGAAGGAATATACCTCAACATAATAAAGGTCACATATGAGAAACAATAGCTAATATCGTACTCAGGGGTGAAAAACTGAAAGCTTTACCACTAAGATGAGACACAAGGCAAGGTTGCCGACTCTTGCCACTGTTATCTAACATAGTACTAGAGGTCTTAACCAGAGCAATTAAGCAAGAAAAATAAATAAATAAAGGGCATCAAAATTGGAAAGCAGGAAATAAAACTGACCCTGTTTGCAGGCAACATGATCTTACATACAGAAAACCCTAAAGACTTCATTAAAACAAAAAACCATTAGAACTAATCAACGAACTCAAAGTTGCAGGATAAAAAGTCAACATGCAAAAATCGGTTGTGTTTCTATACACTGTTAAGAAACTCTCTAAAAAGGTATTTGGAAAACAGCACTGAGAAAATACTGAGGAATAAACTGCATCAAGGAGATCAAAGATGTATATACTGAAAAGCATTGATGAAATAAATTAAAGAAGGTGTAAGCAAATGGAAAAATACCCATGTTCATGGATTAGAAGACTAAAATTGAAATATCCATACTACCCAAAGTGATCTACAGAGTGCAGAGTCAATGCAATTCCTATCAAAATCCCAATGACCCTTTTTACAGAAATAGAAAAAAAAAATCCTAAAATGTATATGCAATAACAAAACACTTCTAATTTAAGCTAAAATAATCTTGAAAAAGGAGAACAAACCTCCTGGTGTATATACATGTGGTACTGCCATAAAAATACACGTATAAACCCATGGAACAGAATAGAGAGCCCAGAAATAAATTCACACACATATAGTCAACTGATCTTCAACAAGGGTGCCAAGAATATACAATGGAGAAAGGACAATCTCTTCAACAAATGGTGTTTAGAAAACTGGATGTCCACATGCCAAAGAATAAAATTGAACCTTTCTTTCGTGCCATACGCAAAAATCAACTCAAAGTGGATTAAAGATTTAAATATAAGATCTGAAACTATAAAACCCCTAGAAGAACATAAAGAGGAAAAGCTTTATGACATTGGTCCTCTCAATGATTTTTTTTGGATATGACCCCAAAAACACAGGCAACAAAAGCAAAATTAGACAAGTGGGGCCACATTGAACTAAAATCTTCTGTACAATAAAGAAAACAATCCACAAAATGAAAAGGGAACTTACAGAATGGGGGAAAATATTTGCAAACCATATATCCAATAAAGGGTTAATGTCCAAAATATATTAGCAAATTTTGCAACTGAATAGTAAAAAAACTAACAACCCAATTTAAAAATGGGCTAAGGATTTGAACAGATATTTTTCCAAATAAGATTTACAATGGTTACAAAGAGAATAAAATACCTAGGAATACAACTAACAAAGAATGTAAAGGACCTCTTCAAGGAGAACTACAAACCACTGCTCAACAAAATAAGAGAGGACACAAATAGATGTGAAAACATTCCATGCTCAAGGTTGGGAAGCATCAATATCGTGAAAATGGCCATACTGCCCAATGTAATTTATAGATTCAATGTTATTTCCATCCAGCTACCAATGACCTTCTTCATAGAACTGGAAAAAAAACCTTTTAAACTTCATATGGAATCACAAGAGAAGCCGCATAGCCAAGACGATCCTAAGCAAAAAGAACAAAGCTGGAGGTATCACACTGCTGGACTTCAAACTATACTACAAGGCTACAGTAATCAAAACAGCATGGTACTGGTACCAAAACAGAGACATAGACCAATGGAATAGGACAGAGGCCTCAGAAGCAACACCACACATCTACAACCATCTGATCTTTGACAAACCTGACAAAAATAAGCAATGGGGAAAGAACTCCATGTTTAATAAGTGATGTTGGGAAAACTGGCTAGCAATGTGCAGAAAGCAGAAACTGGACCCCTCCCTGTCACCTTACACTCAAATTAACTCCAGATGGATCAAAGATTTAAACATAAAACCTAGCACCATAAAAACACTAGAAGAAAATGTAGGCAAAACCATCCAGGACATAGGCATAGGGAAGGACTTCATAACTAAAACACCAAAAGCAATGGCAACAAAAGCCAAGATAGACAAATCAGATCTAATTAAAATTCAGAGCTTCTGTACAGCAAAATAAACCATCATTAGAGCAAACCGGCAACCAGCAGAATGGGAAAATATTTTTGCAGTCTACTCATCTCACAAAGGGCTAACATCCACAATCTACAAAGAAGGAAAACAGATTTACAAGAAAAAAACAAACAAGCCCATTCAAAAGTGGGTGAAGGATATGAACAGACACTTTACAAAAGAAGACATATATGAGGCCACAAACATATGGAAAAAATGCTCATCATCACTGATCATTAGAGAAATGCAAATCAAAACCTTATTGAGATACCATCTCATGCCAGTTAGAATGGCGATCATTAACAAATCTGGAGATAGATGCTGGAGAGGGTGTGGAGAAATAGGAACACTATTACATAGCTGGTGGGAGTGTAAATTAGTTCAACCATTGTAGACGACAGTGTGGTGATTTCTCAAGGATCTAGAAACAGAAATTCCATTTGACCCAGCAATCCCATTACTGGGTATATACCCAAAGAACTATAAATCATTCTACTATAAAGACACATGCACACATATGTTCATTGCAGCCCTGTGTACAACAGCAAAGGAACCAACCCAAATGTCCATCAATGATAGACTGGACAAAGAAAATGTGGTACATATACACCATGGAATACTATGCAACCATAAAAAATTATGAGTTCCTGTCCTTTTAGGAACTTGGATGAATGTGGAAATCATCATTCTCAGCAAACTGACACAGAACAGAAAAGCAAACACTGCATGTTCTCACTCATAGGTGGGTGTTGAACAATGAGAACATGTGGACTCAGGGAGAGGAGCATCACACATTGGAGGTAATTGTGGGGGAGGGTAGAGGAGGGACAGCAGGGGATGGGAAGTGTGGGAAGGGATAACATGGTGAGAAATGCCGGATATAATATGCACCTATGCAACAACCCTGCATGACCTGCACGTGTACCCCAGAACCTAAAGTAAAATAAAATGAAAATTAAAAAAAAAAAAAGTAGTACCTGTGGAGTACTATGCAACCATGAAAAACAGTGAGATCCTGTCGTTTGCAGCAACATGGATGGAACAAGAGGTCACTACATTAAGTGAAATAAGCCAGGCACAGAAAGACAGACATCATATGTTCTCACTTATTTGTGGGATCTAAAAATAAAAAAATTGAACTCTTGGAGACAGAGAATAAAAGGATGATTACGAGAGGCTGGGAAGTGTAGTGGGGGGTGGTGGGGAAAGGTGAGGATGGTTCATGGGTACAAAACCAAATTTTTAGAATGAATAAGACCTTGCGTTTGATAGCACAACAGAGTGGCTGTAGTCAAAATAACTGTACATTTATTACTTACTAGTCAAAATAACTGTACATTTATTATTAGTAACTGTACATTTAAAAATAACTAAAAGAGTATAATTGACTTATTTGCAACACAAAGAATAAATGCCTGAGGAGATGTCTATCCTATCTATCCTGATATGATTATTAGGTATTGCATACCTGCATCAAAATATCTTATGTACCACCTGCATATATAGACCTACTATGTAGCTACAAAAATTTACAGTTTATAAAATGGGAAGAGTGGAATAATCTCCCCTCAGGGAGAGGTGCGTCTATTGCTGAAGGTTCTACTACAACTTCTTCTTCACCTGCTTTGCTTTGGACAGCAGACCAAATACTTCTGATTTCTAAGAGCTTCCCTGACTTTCCTAGAGTCAGTCCCCCAACTTGTCGCACTCTCAAATCAATTCCTATTGACTTGTGAATGATATTTACGATGATGAGATGATGCTCGTTTATATTTTCATTGTATTGTTCAACCTTATTAAAGTAGAACATGTATATATATACACACACACATATATATATAATAAAATTTACTAATTTTAAGCATACAATTCAATGAGTTTGACGACTATAAACAGACATGCAACAACAAAAACAATCAAGATATAGAACATTGCTACCACCTTAAAAATGTCCCCCATGTCCCTTTGCAGTCAATCTCTTCCCCTAACTCCCTGGTTCCCAGAAACCACAAGCTGGCTTTCTATCATTACAGTTGTACCTGATCTAGGCTTTTATATAAGCAGAATCATACAGTAGACAGTTGTAGTTGATAGAATGGTGCCCCACAAAAGAAATGTTGATGCTTTAATTCCTAGGACCTGCGAATGTGACCTCATTTTTTAAAAGGGTCTGTATGGATGTGAGTAAGCCACAGATCACAAGATGAGATTTTCCTAGGTTATATGGGTGGGCCCGAAAGCCGATGACATGTGTTCTCATACGTGTCAGAAGCTGCAGCAATTATTCTTCCTTCTCCTTTTCCTGTTCTTGCTAGTTTTCTCACTTGCATGCATTAATACTCAACTAAAGGTTTGAGGGTAGCACTCTGCACATATCCAGAATAGCTCCCTCTGCGTTTCTCTCTCTCTTTCTCTCAGTCTCTTCCTATCCTTGAAGCTCTCCACTCTGGTACTGTACCTGAAAATTCTAGCCATCTTCATATCCCCAAATTCACAACTTGTTCTCCTCAATGTAAGGAGGCTTCTGAACTCTGTTTGGGTCCAGCCCTATGACTTGGAAACTCTAGCGAGCAGGCTGGGACAATTGCAGAGCTCACCTCCTCGGGGTCACTGCCATGCACTTTCTCTTATCAAATAGAACCATCGCTTCACACATTCTCTACTGACCTCTGCCCTCACAATTGATTTGTCATTATCCAAAAGCATTGCTAAAAAAGACCACCTGTATTTGCTACCAAACAGCTATAGAAATGCCCTTAAGAATCTTTAATGTGCTATCAGCAGAACTAGACAAACTTCATAGGTTAAGCTGACTAAATTTTAATGTCCCCAAATTTCTACAAATAGGAAGTGGAAGGCAGCTCATGTAATCTCTGCTGCCAAGCAAAAATGCAATCATGAGTAGTCATGTTCTATTCTGCAGTCCAATGTAACAGAAACTGAGATCAAAAATGACTAAATGTATAGGTGCCAATGCTAGGACAGCTTAACTTTGCCTTTCTTTCTCAGTTTCCTTATATATAAAATGGGGATAATAAAAGTATTCTCATCATAGACGTCCCATAAGGCTTAAATAAGTCAGAGCATTAAGGTGTACTCATTTTGAATCTTAGTGAGAAATCAGCAAGAGTCCATTGTCATCATTATTTTGTGATGTTATGACAGCATGTCCCCAGAATGCTTTATCTTTAACAACAGAGAAAGAATGTCTCTCCTTGAAAGTCAAAGCAGCTTGTTGTAGTGTTTACTTCCATTTACTTTTGCTGAGGCATGGCTCTGTAGGATTTGGCACAAGAATCAAATTAATTTTTTGTTCCACTAGACTATTTCAAACCCTCTTTATGCCCAGGCACCTGTGAATATGTACACCATAGAAATGTGAAGCTCTTTTTTTTTCCTTTGAGACAGAGTCTCACTCTGTTATCCAGGCTAGAGTCAGTGACACGATCTTGGCTCACTGCAACCTTTGCCTCCCGGGTTCAAGTGATTCTCCTTCCTCAGTCTCCTGAGTAGCTGGGACTACAGGTGCAAACCACCATGCCCGGATAGTTTTTTTGTGTTTTTAGTAGAGACAGGGTTTCACCATATTGGCCAGGCTGGTCTCAAACTCCTGACCTGGTGATTTGCCTGCCTTGGCCTCCCACAGTGCTGGGATTACAGGCGTAAGCCACTACGCCTGGCCCATTTGAAGCTCTATTAATTAAACACTGGAAAATCTGTAGATATCTTGAAAGAAATTCAGAAAATGATATGAAACTCACAGTGAGAAACAATAACCAAACAGGCTGTTTGTAGGATGACTAAATATCACTGTTAGTGACACTGATTTTGTAAGGTACATTTAAACCTCTTTCTACCACCTGCTGTACCTTTAAACTACATAGCTGGACAATTTTCTTACCCAGCTGAAAAATCAGGCAAAGGCCATGAACTAAGACATTCCCTGTTGCCTTCCATACAAGTTGAATGCTAGATGTATTGGCTATGCAATTATGTACACATGAAACTGCTATTGTATGCCACCTTCAAATTGCTTTCGCTTTTTTACTGGGTCCCATTTCAAATCATTTTCCCTGAATAGCAACTTGGGGTTGTTCTTTGAATCACACATGGCAGCTGCTGCCAGCAACCTTTTCAAACTCTGCATTGCCAGAAAATATTTTTACAAGACAGGTGGAATATGCTGAGTAGAAATATTGTGCTGTCAATTAATAATCCTAATGCCATTAACTTAAAATGCCTTGAGCAGCTGCTAACCAGTTCTTGCTATTAAAGTGAATAAATAGAGTAGTTATCTGTTAGAACAAAGCAGCCACCCTCTCCCCCAAAGCCCTTTACCAACATCTGTAGTGAAAAGCCTATGGATTGTAATTGTTTCTAAATTTCTAATGTAAACTGACTTTATATTTTGGCAACAAGTCAGAGAAGAAGATGAAAATATAGCTATGTCTCATTAAAAACTAACTTGGGAAGACTCAATTGTGCTGTAACAATTTCCTTCTAAATTATTACAGCTCAAAGAAAATTTTTTACTCAGTAAAGAATAGTGGAAAATGTCAGGAGAAGCCTGAGGAACACAAAACATGTCCATGCTAATTCCAGCACAAATTGCTACCAAGTTTTCTTGCTACAAAATGGGCATAGCCTTCTTCTTCTTTTTTTTTTTTTTTTTTTTTGAGACAGAGTTTTGCTCTTGTTCCCCAGGCTGGAGTGCAATGGCACGAGGCTCACTGCAACCTCTGCCTCCTGGGTTCAAGCAATTCTCCTGGCTCGGCCTCCTGAATAGCTGAGATTACTGATGCCCGCCACCATGCTTGGCAAATTTTTTATATTTTTAGTAGAGATGGAGTTTCACCACGTTGGCCAGGTTGGTAGCGAACTCTTGACCTCAGGTGATCCACCTACCTCAGCCTCCCAAAGTGCTGGCATTACAGGCATGAGCTACCTACCACGCCTGACCTGCGCATAGCCTTTTAAAGGTTATGTGTAATGTGAGTAACAGGCTCTGGAAAATGTTTTATTACTGCTAATATAACTAGGATATGAATCTTACAATTGAACTCTCTTATCTGACAGGAATGTTGACGATTTAATGTTTTTTAGTTTGGTATGAGATAGAATCACTGTAAATGAAAAATGAATAAAAACACTTTTTCCATAAATTAATCAGATACCATTCAAAGGCAGAACTCACTTTTCAAAATGGAAAATACCACGGACAGTTTATTGCCTTTATTCATCATTGAAATAAGGTTATTCAATTTGTTGTATGTTAGGAGAAGAAAACTGACCCCTATTTCTTTCAAAAGCCATTACACATTGCTTTCATGTGATCCATACTTACTTATCCAGCACTCTTTTTTCTAAAAACAACTGGGTTATGGTTTGTGTGTCTATGCAAAATAATGCACTCAACATGTGTGGGAGAGTGACAGTGAGTAATCATAACAAATATTTATTAAATGATCACTCTTTGCTAAGCTTTATGGTTATTATCTGTTGATCTTTACAGTATTCATTCAAGGTGAGTACTGTTTTCCAAGTTTTTTTTTTTTTTCAGATGAGAAAAGAGTAAAGGACTTGACTAAAATACTTAATTCTTTCCCTCATAAGTATACCTTCTTAACACAGAAATTCATAGGGTGTTTTTATCTAATTCTGTCCCCACTGGCCACCATAATCTCTTTTGAATAATGGGTTATGGAACACTCAGTCTTTGTATTTAAACGAGGTCTTAACAGATTTGTGAGAATCCCTCAACAGCGCTCTGTATCGAGATCCATACTTTTAAACAACAATTCATAAAAACATAAAGGAGTTTTATATTAATTTACTCTTCTTTCCCCTAAATATCTGGTAATGCCCCATATCCTCTCTGTCTAACAGCAAAGCCTGTTCTCTGGCTGTCCTCAACTCTCTTGTCACTTCTTGTCTCCATGTCATCTTGTAGGGATATCTGCTTCTTCCCTCAGAGACCTTAACATCACTCACAGTTCATCAACTTCATACATTCAGAGGGCTTATCATTAATATCTGTAAAGGATTTTATTTTCCCCTAATCCATTCTAGAAAAGCTAGCCACTACGCTTACTAGTTAATGGGCATGTTCATATGATACTGCAGCTCTCTGTCTCTCTCTAGCCTAAATGTTTACTACCCGTACCCTCATTGGTGGCATGCTCTC